TATTTGTCAAAAAGTGCTTATCAGCTAGGAATCCGCTGGACTGGATGAAGCTTTCAGACAGTGTCGATAGTTCACAAGGATTAAGTTCTGCAGGGACTGTAGAACAATCACTTGACAAAAAGCGCTCAAGAAAAGAAAACAGCCGTAAAAACATGGGCACATGCTTGTCACAAGTCCGCAAATGAGGATCAGTCTGTTAAAAGAATAAAAATTCTTCCAATATCTTGACTGGAAGCATCAAATAATAGGATTAATAAGAGTTCTTTGTCAGGTCCACAGTTTGGACAGTCAATTTGGTATTAGCGACCTTCTACAAGTTGGATGAGATTAAATAAACCACTCTTCCTTCCTCATCTTTTAATCCATGGATAGTCAGTAGTCAATGTTTGAAACGTACTTCCTGTTTCATATCACGGTACACAATTAACGATAAGTAGAGTGATCTATCGTTTCGTATGACTTGGCTAAACCAGTCCCATGAGATACACCATGAGCTCAACATGACCTGAATATGAATCGCTCACGGATCTACCAGATATTGAGTATCGGTGTAAACGAATAAACATTACATTCGCTGCTGGACACACACAGACATTACCGGATGGATTCATCCGGTCATCAATATGATAGGCTATGTCTAACTTGCGACCCAATCGTAAACACGTCTTATCGTGAAGAGTTAGTTCATCTCAAGTGAAATCATTTGAACGCGTAAATTTGAGTTAGTGATGGCACAGGCATGGGATCAGAATACCTAATAAACTTCTAAAATGAACCTTTTGCCAAATTACATGGCACGGGTTCATGGATTACTCCAGGAGCTACATCATTCAAACGTTCGTGCCCCGTGCTTACGAATTCAATCGTAAATCGTACTTGACTGGTAGAAGATTAGCGGCAAAAATTTTTGAGCTGGAACTACTCCCCTTTCAAACCCGCAAAAAATAACGGCTTATGGGAATATATGAATGGATCGATTGAATACGACGCTTAGTAAAATTCTTTCACGATGATAAAATTTATTTAAAAAATGGCATAAAGACAGAATGATTCATTCGCATACCTGAAAGATCGTCGAGCATTTTCTCCTACCTCTGCAGCGTTGCATAACTTCACAAGAATCACAAAGAACAGAAATTGTTCAGCGTCAATCAGAGTAACAAGGTGCTACGTAACATGTTTTGCTTGAAAAATAAACTGCTGATAGCCACTGGGGTCAGCAAAAATCCACTATGTCGCTATCACTGCTTTGAAAAAATATATGAATATATGAAATTGTTATTGATTCCATGCTAATCTTTGAAATAAGAAATCTTCTACAACGGAAGCTCTCTGATGTAACGGTCACAGGTACAAAGATCAAAGATTCATCACAAAAATCTGTTTTGAGCCGATATTTTATACAGTCAGTTATCAAAGAAGAATCTCCATGTTACATAACAATGTTTAACCAGCAGCGCAACATATGTGTCTTTGCTTATTGTACGATAGTCTAAGCGGTTGTCGTCCGAAACAGCGACTAAGACTGAAGACCTAAAAACAGCTGATAAATCGCCTTTGGATGTTAAGTCGAGAAGGTTGCCGTTTGCAGACGACCTTGTTTTATTAGAATCTTCTGAAACTGATCTCCAGTGCTCCTTAGAGAGGTTCGCGGCCGAGTGCGACGTGACCGGCATGCGTGTAAACGCATCTAAAACGAAGCGTAGTGCTTTCTCGTTCTCCTGCCCATTGCTCTCTTCAGATTAACGGAGAGGCAGTGGAGCAGGTGGAGAA